TAGTAGTTTCAGAGGTTAAGAAAGGGCATATCTGGAGTTGTTGCGGAGGTGAAGTCTACAAGATTTGGACGGTGATTGGATTTGAGGACAGATGGGAGTCTAGGATTACACCTAGTACCCTGGCATGAGGAGAGGGACTGATGGTTGTATTATTGATTTTGATGGAGAATTCAGGGGAGGGGGCACGGGCTGGAGGAAATAGTATAAGCTCCATTTTGGAAAGATTGATTTTGAGGAAGTGGAGTGACATCCATGCTGATATGTCACTTAGTAGGTTAGTAATGCGAGAGGAGACTGAAGGTGAGAAGTAGAAATATAGATTTGTGTGTCATGAGATGGTACTTTAAGCCATGGGAGTTTATCAAGTGACCAAGGGAGGAGGTGTAGATGGAGAAGAGAAGGGGTCCAAGCACAGAACCTTGAGGGACCCCTAAAGAAAGAGGGCGTGAAGAGAAGGAGGCAGCGTTATAGGTAACGCTAAAGGAGCACTGCGATGGGTAGCAGAAGAACCAGGAGAGAGCAGAGTCACGGAGGCCAAGAGTGTAGTTTTCAGGAGAGGATGGTCAACATTATTAAAAGCCGCAGAGTGGTCAAGTAGTAAGAGTATGGAGTAGTGGCCATTGGTTTTAGCAGATAATAAATCATTAGTGAGTTTTAGTGGGGCAGTTTCAGACGAGTGGAGTGAGTGAAAACCAGAATGTAAAGGGTCAAGAAGGTTTTTGTCAGTGAGATAGGAGCTCAGGCGATTGTAGACTAAGCGTTCTAAGAATTTAGAGTAAACGGAAGCAGGGAGATGGGTCTGAAGTTGTTCAGGTTGGTGGGGTCCAGCGAGGACTTTTTAAGTATGGGAGTGATGTGTGCATGCTTTAGATGGGTGGGGAAGGCACCGTTAGAGAGGGAGAGATTGAAGATGTGAGTGAGGGAGCATAAGATAGAAGAGGATGACTGTAGTATTTGAGAGGGGACAGGATCCAGGGGGCACGTGGTGAGACGGGCTTCTGAAAAAACTTTAGTGACCTCTTAAGTAGTAGCAAGATCAAAACAGGAAAGCGTTGAGGGAGGTTTAGTATAAGGTATGCGAAGTAGGATAGATGTTTGTGTAGTGGAGATGCCCCTACGAATTGCATCAATCTTGTGTTTTGAAATTCTCTGCAATCTCTTAAGCAGTGAGTGAGTTACTGGGTGGAGGTGGAGAAAGTAGAGAGTTACAAGTAGAGAAGAGATGATGCGGACTGGGTGACAAGGTATTAATAAGAGTGACAAAGTAGGCTTGTTTGGCAGCATGGAGGGAAGTATTGTATGTTAAGAAAGCAGATTTATATCTGGTGAATGCTTGCTGAGATTTGGTTTTACGCCACAATCGCTCCAGTGCACGGCTATGTCTAAGATTCCTGGTGTCAGTCTGCAACGGTTGTAATGGTCAGGGCCTGATACTTTGTGTAGTTAGAGGAGCAAGTGAGTCTAGTTTGGATGAAAGCAAACTGTTGTAGACAGCAGTGGCCAGGTCGGGGCAGGACAGGGGACAGTTGCAGAGTGGAAAAGAGAAGGGTTTAAGTTGTAACGGTTTCTGCAGATAATTGTTGCTGCTTGAGGGATAAGTGTTTGAAGATGAGGACACTCAAGGTGATGAGATTGTGATCAGAGAGGAAAGGGGGTGTTTGTGCGGTTGTAAGGAGTGCAAATATGGGAGAAAACAAGGTATAATGTATTCCCATCAGAGTGAGTGGAGGACTGTGTCCATTGTGCAAAAGATGAGGTAAGGCTGAAGAGTTGGGATGTAGCCGGGTTGTTGATATTAATGGGGATGTTAAAATCTCCAAGAATGATAGTGGATATTTCAGAGGAGAGAAAGTAGGGTAGCCAAGCAGAGAAGTAGTCAAGAAAGCTCGCCACTGGTCCAGGAGGCCAGTAGATCACTGCAATCCTCAGAGAAATGGGAGAAAACAGCCGAATGCAGTGAGTCTTGAAAGAAGAGAAGGATAGAGAGGGAGGGTTAGGGAGGACTTGAAAGGTGCTCAGTGGGGATAGAAGCAAACCACGTCCACCTCCTTTCTGACCACTGGGTCTGGGTGAGTGACTCCAGAGAAGACCTCCATAGGAAAGTGCTGCAGGAGAAGCAAAATCTGCTGCTTGAAGCCAGGTTTCTGTAATTGCTAGTGGGTTAAGGGAGTGGGAGACAAAAAGGTCATGGACAAAGGTGAGCTTATTACAGACAGAGCGGGCATTCCAGAGCACACATGAAAAAGGGTGGGTGGTTTTTAGGAACATGGGGATTGAGATTAAATTGAGTGGATTGCTATTCTTGTAGGAAGCCTGGTGTGGGGTTGAGATACTGGAGGACCAGGGTTTGGGGAGATATCCCCAGACGTTAGGAGAAGAAGGGTGAGGAAAGTAAGATGGGAGCAGGATGTGTATGAGTGCACATGCCTTCCTGTCCTGGTGTTTGGGTCAGCAGGTGAGTAAAGTATTAGCAGGAGGTGATAAGAGCAGTAGTAGGGAGATGGTAGAAGTGAGGGTGATATGTATTAGCTTTGGGGTGGAGCAGAGGGGTAAAGAAATGAGATTTTGAGAACAGAGGATAGTAATATGAAAAGGAGGAGTAGAGGGGACATATTAAAGGGTACATGGAGTGGGAATCAGACTTGTAGGAGGTGTTTCCAGGGTGTATGCTTGCAGTCCATCCAGCGTGCAGTAGAGTTCTTTGTTGTATCTTCCTGCTGCTTGAGTTATCCTGCTTTAGTTTAACTGCTGTTTTTGCACTCCAGCAGAAAATCACTCACGCAGGACAATGCCCCTTCTGCGACTGAACCCCCTGTCTGTGGCCTCCCCCATAAGCTGGTCAAAATTTATAGGGAGATGATCAAATGAGCAATTCTTCTCTGCCCCAATTAAGAACTGATAAGGATCACATGAATTTGGGGGGGAAGTTGGTCAAAACTAAACCAACCACACAAGCAGGCCAAAGTCATAAAAGATGATTGATTTCTGATCACAGAGAGGCAAAAGCAGGTGAGAATCAATCACCACAAACAGACAAAAAGATATAGGACTAATTATCCTGAATTTTGCAGAAAGTACCACGGAGACAGTTTAAGGTGTCGGTCACACAGCAGCATTTATCTGTGAAAAAGCAGAGACGACATGATCGGGGGGCTGTGTTCAACAGCTGCATTGCACTCCAGCAGGAGAAAAAAGTGTGTGTGTAATACACACAGTATTTCACAGAAGTGAGTACACCCCTCACATTTTTGTAAATATTTTATTATGATGTTTTTCATGTGACAACACTGAAGAAATGACACTTTGCTACAATGTAAAGTAGTGAGTGTACAGCTTGTATAACAGTGTAAATTTGCTGTCCCCTCAAAATAAATCACAGCCAGTAATGTCTAAACTGCTGGAAACAAAAGTGAGTACACCCCTAAGTGAAAATGTCCAAATTGGGCCCAATTAGCCATTTTCCCTCCCCGGTGTCATGTGACTTGTTAGTGTTACAAGGTCTCAGGTGTGAATGGAGAACAGTTGTGTTAAATCTAGTGTTATCGCTCTCTCTTTCGCTCTCCTACTGGTCACCTGGAAGTTTAGCATGGCAGGTCATGGCAAAGACCTCTCTGAGGATCTGCTCAATTTTTGCTCTACATAAAGATGGCCTAGGCTATAAGAAGATTGCCAAGACTATGGAACTGAGCTGCAGCACGGTGGCTAAGACCATACAGTGGTTTAACAGGACAGGTGCCACTCTGAACAGGCCTCGCCATGGTCGACCAAAGCAGTTGAGAGCACGTGCTCAGCGTCATATCCAGAGGTTGTCTTTGGGAAATAAACGTATGAGTGCTGCCAGCATTGCTGCAGAGGTTGAAGAGATGGGGGGGGGGTCAGCCTGTCAGTGTTCAGACCATACACCGCATCAAATTGGTCTGCATTGCTGTCGTCCCTGAAGGAAGCCCCTTCTAAAGATGATACATAAGAAAGCCTGCAATAAGTTTGTTGAAGACAAGCAGACTAAGGACATGGATTACTGGAACCATGTCCTGTGGTCTGATGAGACCAAGATAAACCTATTTGGTTCAGATGGTGTCATGCGTGTAGTAGCGGCAACCAGGTGAGGAGTACAAAGACAAGTGTGTCTTGCCTACAGTCAAGCATGGTGGTGGGAGTGTCATGGTCTGGGGCTGCATGAGTGCTGCCGGCACTGGGGAGCTACAGTTCATTGAGGGAACCATGAATGCCAACATGTACTGTGACATACTGAAGCAGAGCATGATCCCCCTCCCTTTGAACACTGGGCCGCAGGGCAGCATTCCAACATAACGACCCCAAACACACCTCCAAGACAACCACTGCCTTGCTAAAGAAGCTGAGGATAAAGGTGATGGACTGGCCAAGCATGTCTCCAGACCTAAACCCTTGAGCATCTGTGGGGCATCCTCAAACGGAAGGTGGAGGAGCACAAGGTCTCTAACATCCACCAGCTCTGTGACGTCGTCATGGAGGAGTGGAAGAGGACTCCAGTGGCAACCTGTGAAGCTCTGATGAACTCCATGCCCAAGAGGGTTAAGACAGTGCTGGAAAATAATGGTGGCCACACAAAATATTGACACTTTGGGCCCAATTTGGACATTTTCACTTAGTGGTGTACTCACTTTTGTTGCCAGCGGTTTAGACATGAATGATTGTGTTTGAATTATTTTGAGGGGACAGCAAATTTACACTGTTATACGAGCTGTACACTCACTACTTTACATTGTAGAAAAGTGTAATTTCTTCAGTGTTGTCACATGAAAAGATAGAATAAAATATTTACAAAAATGTGAGGGGGGGTGTGTGTGTATGTATGTATGTATGTATGTATGTGTGTAAGTGTGTGTGTGTATATACATACACTGCAGTTTGGGGTTAGTAAAATCTATAATTATCTGTTTTGAGATGAGTTGTTATGAGTAGAAGTATACCTGTTGGAATGTTCTTTTGCAATACTGGTTATTTTTTCTTGTGTACAGGTGAGATCAGAGAGCAAAATGGAGATGGTCTTGTCCATGCTGCAATTGTTGCAGAAGGAGCAGCAGTAGGGAGCCCTGAAGCAAATGCTTTCAATGTCCTCCAGCATGTTCTGGGTGCAGGGCCCTACATCAAAAGAGGCAGCAACTCCAGCAGTAAACTTTCCCAAGCAGTGTCCAAGGCAACCAGTGAACCCTTTGACGTAAGTATTAACTCCATGAAAGAATACTACTTGTGTTCTGAATTCTCATTCGCATCTATTTTGAGGTGTTTTTTTTTTTTTCTTCAATTAAGGTACAAGTGCTCTTTTAGCGAAATGTGTACTGGTCCACCAATCTTAGATTCTTGACCTCAAAACCCTCAGCCAGCTGTTTACTTCAGCATCCTATTTATGACATTCTCTGCTGTTTGCATTCTCTGGGGCAAAAATCATGCATGCTGAATGCCACTGCACAGTCAGCACCCATAAACTTGACAGAAACCATACTCCAAGTGTCTCTAATCTGAGGGCTTAAAATGGAAGTATGGCGAAAGCTTTTTTGGCCATACGTCCTTTCAGGGTCACAGGAGTGTATACTTACTTTTGCTGTCATGTGACCCAGAATCAACCAACAGCTAACTCAAGCCCATTATCAGCTGATGTCAAAGAGCTGCTTCAAGCTGCACCCGTCCCCTCTCCTACCTGATGCTCCAGTGAGTGCTGGAGGGGCAGAGCAGAGAGCCGTGACATATTCTGCAGCATGGAGGTGAGTATGTATAATTTTTTTTTTTATAATCCCATATTTCTCCTTTAGTGGGCAGGGATAGACAGCACTGAAGATGATTTGAGCCCAGAGGATATAAAGGACAGAGAAGGCCATGGTTGTTGATGCTGAGGTAAGTAAGCACCTGGATGGGGGGTTTCTACCTTCACTCAGGATAGGGGGCTAGGGAGAATGGACATGTACACTTTTTACTAAAATACTGCATTTAGCTAAAAACTCGAACATTGCAAGCAGATTACAGTCTCTAAACTTAATAATTTCCCTTTCTTGAAGGTTTCTGCGTTCAATGCAAGCTACTCGGATTCTGGATTGTTTGGTGTCTACACTATATCCCAGGCTGCTTCTGCTGGAGATGTAAGGAAAATACAAAATTTGTATCTAACGCTTATTAACTTATTCCTAGGTAAATTATTTACATTTATCGATCACTCACTGGTGACTTTATTAGGTACACCTTGCTAGTACCAGCCAAGTCTCATGACATGTAAAATCCCAGGTTAGTCAATGCGAGTCTTCTTAATTAGCACTACTGAAGTTGCTCCGACTTTAGAAAAGATTCCTGTACTACTTCAAGGTGACTTCTATCCAACTTGGGTTATATACTTTAATAGAAGTTGCCTCCAAGTCAAATCCTTATCTATATTAATGTGATTTGGATCTGACATTACAGGAAGATCACCCAGGCATTACCTGAAAGTTGCTTCAGAGTTGCATCAAAGTAGTACTCAAGTTGCCTAGCAAAGTCACGCAACTTTCAAGTAGCTGTAGTGTGAACCGAGACTTAGTGTAGCTAAAATAAAATAAACCCCACAAAAATCAGCTAAAATGGACATAACTTAGTCAGTAGTATGTGCTGATTCCAATTTTGTTAGTAGAAATCCTTCTCAGTTCATTAATCTCATCAGTTTACTAACCGAATTGGAATCCACCCAAGGGACATATCCTATTGTCTGTAAGTTATGTCCCTTGTACTGATGATTCTGGTTTTTATTTTAGCTGCACTTAGACTTTAAGGCTGCAGTCACACCTCAGCATAGCGAATTTTGAGTGTTTTTCTTTTTCGCATGATTTTTAATGCTTTTTAACCACAATTTTTGCGCATTTTCGTACAGCATTTTTTAGGTATTTTTGAGCTTTGGCGTGTTTTTTTATTAGCCAATATAGAAAAATATAATCTGCTATATCATTTGCTAGGTTTTTTGGGGGTTTTTTTTAGCTTTTATTTTTTTTTTATTAATATTTATTTTTGTTAGGGAAAGGGGTTAGATTTAGGATTAGGGATGGGTTGGGGTTAATTACACTGTTCAACAAATTTTTTATTTTTTGCCAGTTTTGGAAACAAAAGGATCCATTTCTTAATGAATTTCACATTCTGAGTTCAAATATAACAATGAAATTTGTCAATTGGCTCTAGTTTTTCTGTAAACGGAAAGTTTTCTACTATAGGCGTAATGACTACATAATGCACAATAATTATATAGATAGATGTCTTTCCACAAATATAAAGCAAGTGATATTGACTACATAACAAAGCCTAAATGGCATAATATATTGCATAGGATTACCAAGAAAAATTATAGCCATAAGCTAAGTTGAATCATTTTAATACTTAGGATTCTCACTAGTTTTGTCTTCAGTTTGTGTCGGTTTTGCTTCTCTTGGCTTTTCTCTTGTATTCGAGGAAAGGGCTATCTCTTACAACTGCACGTGACTACACGCTTCAGGTTCTTCCTCACTTGACTCAACCACGAAGGATTCTGGTGCTTTAGGAATTGGTAGCCCCTCTCCATGAGGAACTGGACGTATTGCCGATGGAATATTTGGATAGTGCACAGATAACTTTTTCTTCTTATTTAGCCCTTTTGTTGGAGGCACCATACAAAAGTAACAATTACTAACATGATCTGTTGGCTCTCTCCAAATCATTGGCACAGCTAAAGGCATAGATGCCTTTTTTCCTTTCAACCATTGCTCCAGTGCCGTCCCACAAGAATTGCAGCATATATGTGGTGCCCAGCTCTTGTCCTGGTCTCCTATCTTGCAGCCAAAATACAAGTTGTAGGCTTTCTTAATCATTCCTGTTATCCTCCTTTTTTTGTGAGATAAAAGTTATTTCACCGCAGATATAGCAGAAATTATCTGCTTTATTCACACAAGTTCGAGCCATTACTGAGTAGCCTATATAAGCATAAAACGAAATTTAAAGACGCTGTCGAACTACAATCAGCTACAGATACTGCAGCTTTTATGCAGTGAAGTGATGCAATTAAAGGCTAATATTGCATCATCTCAGTATACATGTAATTTTCTATTGGTCACCAGTATCAATTGCGCAATATGCAGCTGAAGTTGCATCATAATTTTGAATGGCTTACGTCATTAGATGGGTGAATATATCATGGAAACTAGAGCCAATCAACATTTTTTAGGGTCATTTTCGTTTTCAGCACCCCAAAATTATGTAAGATTAGCTAATTTTATGCCCAAAACTTTTTACCTGTTGAACAGTGTTATTTGTATTTTCTTATTATTCATCTTTTTGTTACGGTGTTATTAGTAATAATAGAATAAATACATGTAAAGTAAATACACAGATAAATGTAAATCATAAATAATACACTAAATACACAGATATATACAAATATTTATAAATCATACACTAAATTAATACTATGTAATAATAAATCAATAATTAACCCCAACCTTAACCCCCTAATCCTTAAAAAATTTTTTTCATTTGATTTTTTTTTTTATGGTAATAATAATAGTAAACACCCTAACACAAAATATAATATATTAAATAGTTTTTGGGTTTTTTTTTTTGGTTTAGGGCAGGAGTCTCTAAACTTTCTTAACAAAGGGCCAGTTTACTGGCTTTCAGACTTTAGGGGGGCTGGACTGTGGCCATTGGGAGTACAAAATGTCCTGCGTCTTTGGGAGTGAACAATGCATCTTTAGCATTAGGGGGAGGAATAGTGCCCTATTCTTGGTGTAAGTTGGAGAAATAGTGCCCCATCGTTGGTGTCTATGGGAAGAATAGTGCCCCATCGTTGGTGTCAGTGAAAGGAATAGTGTCTTACATCAGTGGGAGAAATAGTGCCCCAAGGGCCAGATAAGGGCAAGCAAAAGGCCCCATCCAGCCCTTGGGCTGTAGTTTGGAGACCACTGGTTTACTGGGTTAAGGTTAGTGGTTAATTTTTATTCATTATTACATATTCATTTATTTATGATTTTTTTTTATTTTACATTTATTCATATATTTTTTTTTTTTTTAAAAACATTTTTTTTCGTTTAAAGCGGAGTGCCACTCAGAAGCAGGAGCTCCTCTTATTTTTAGGGGGGCAGGGGTTATGTGTTTGGCAGTAACGCTCTGTAATTTTTTACAAACACCTTTTTTTTTTTCCCATCACATAGGGGACAAAAAGTCCCCATGTGATGTTTTTCTTGGTGACAGGTTCTCTTTGCGATACCTAGGGTCTAAAAGACCCTGCATGTCTCCCCTGTGCTCCATTGAATGTAATACAGTGCACATCTTACTGCATTACATTCTTTCCCTGCTTTATAGCCAGGAAAGCTGTCAATGGGGGAATCATACACGTCACTTTCAGGTCAGCTGACGCTCCCTCCCTTCTACCAGTCGGAACCCCGCTACACCGGTCCTGGGCCCGCAGATGGGCAAGCGGTGCCCATGGTGCAGAGTTGGGGGAGGTGCATGCATGGTGGGTAATGGGCCCATGGGTGGATGGTACTTTAGCGCTATGTGTGGAAGTAATAGAGCAGCAACACAGCCGCCTGAATACTTCCACTTGTCAAGTAAGCCCTGCTGCTTGCCTGCAGCAGGGCTAAATGTTAAAATGAAACTACTTGCCCGGCGCCCGGAACTTCATGTCCTAGGTGTCGGGCGATATAAATTTCACATGCCTGTGGTTGTCACGTGAAACTGTCAGCATGCTTAAGCAGTCTTTCAACAACCTTCAAGTTGTGGTGAAGTCTGCTAGCAGCTTGTTGAAAGTGACAGCCTGCACTTCCGTTATATCTGTGTTTAATTCTCTCCAAACTGGAGATCAACGAGGCTTTAAAGACTTACAAAAGTTAGCTTTTTTTTTTTTTCTTTTTTAAAGCTTGTTGTACACACTTCTTTAATACTAGATGAAGCCCACAATTTTATTTAACCACTTGCCCAGGCCAATTTTGAGCTTTCAGCACTGTTGCACTTTGACAATTGCGCAGTCATGCAACACTGTACCAATATGACATTTTTATCATGTTTTTCACACCAATATAGCTTTCTTTTGGTGGTATGTACTCGCCGCTGGGTTTTTTTATTCTTTGCGCTATAAACAAAAAAAGAGCAAAAAATTTATATAAAAAAAAAAGTTTCTCTTTGTTTCTATTATAAAATTTTGCAAACAGGTAATTTTTTCCTCCTTCACTGATGTGCGCTGATGAGGCAGCACCGATGGGCACTGGTGGGTGGCACTGCTGGACGCTGATCATCGGTGCCAACCCATCCTCTGACAATTGCCGGTTATCGGCAGTGCTTTCCTCATGCTGTGACAACGTGAGGAAAGTGGAGCCGATAACCCGCAACTGCATTTACCGGTGATCTGCTGTGTCATTGGACACAGCTGATCACGTGGTAAAGGGCTGCTGTGATTGGCCTTTTACTACATCACGTGATCAGCTGTGTCCGTAGGTCATAAGATGCCCTCCCAGAACTGGACAACCGCGCTGTAGCTGTCATTCGGCAATAGCGTGGTTGGCAAGTGGTTAATATTAAGCCAGAAACCCCTTATGGGTTCTGGGCAACACAAAACTGAGTTTTTCAGAAACTGTTGAAGCCTCCAGCTTCAAAATGTTACCATCAGCATGTACCCATGAACAGCAAATACGTTTTGTCTACCTTGGCTTGCAGGTCTCATTTGCCCAGATTCCGGTTTGTATGTACACATGACGGACAAATTCAAAGGACCCTTTGAAGCTACAAATATGAGACCTGCCATTGCTGAGCTGTTTTGAATGTGCATGCTTTGGGGCTGTCTTTCTCATCCTTTGTTTTACTATGTGTCATTGATCCATTAAACATTAGTGATTATCCAATGCTCCTGTATGTCACCAGATGCATGCTTATTTACAGGTCAGTGCTTTATTTTGTAGTAAAGCAAAGATGAGGCACGTTCCTGTTTTTTTACATTGTTTTTTTAATTCTGATCCTTTCCCCCCCAAGGTAATAAACGCTGCTATTAATCAGGTGAAAGCTGTCGCTGGTGGTACTGTAACTGAGGCTGATATCACAAGAGCAAAGTAAGTAAATTATTTTTAAGTCACCGTGGATCTGTTTCTCCCTAAAATGATCATTCTGTTATACCAGTGACAGTCTTCTAAGATTCAAAGTGATTGTAAGGATATAAGCTGGCTGTCTCTAAAGTAAAGAAACTTGCTAATCAGCACTTATTTGCAGTAGATTGAAGTGTTGGGAGATTTTGATATAATTGATCCATTATATTTTTTTTTTTTATGTCTAAGTAAAAGTTTAGCCTACAAGTTTATCACAATATCAACACTTTGGTGGCTCCATGCACCTATACAAATAGTTTGTGGTGTAAGCTCTTTCCAGGCTTAGAACTATAGTAATTTTGAATAAATGTACATATCCGAATACTGTCTGAAAGTTTTTGTATTGATGTCTAAAGGCAAGTGATTTGTCATTTCAGGAACCAACTCAAATCCCAGTACCTTATATCTAGTGAAAATTCCTCTGGGCTGTTGCATGAGATTGGGTCTCAGACACTGGCAGCCGGTACCTATACATCACCAGTTGCTGCCATCAAACAAGTAGATTCCGTGACCAGCGCAGATGTTGTTAATGTGAGTAGTTCATCTGTTTAGTGAATTTGTGATGCTCCTATAGCAGCACCATCCAGGGTCTGTGTTTTGGGTAGGAAAATGTATGCCAACCTTGCTTTAGTCACTAAAGCTAAAAACAGTGTGATCAAATTGAAGAGAAAACAGTTTTAGAGGGTGCAGCATCAGGGAATCATGATCCACCTGAAGATGACATGAATTTACCACGAACTGCAAGGGCCTCTTCACATCTGGCTGTTCTGTTGAGATTACTGCATGCATGTGGTATTTTGCATGTTAACATGCATTGTGTTCGGGTAGCCGATTCATTTTGAATGTAAACTAGACCTGCTGGATTACATGCCCAAGGAGGTAAAGGTTGTGGGCCACCCCCTCTAACAGAGCACACAGGGATGTGGGTGTGGATGGAGTGTGATCTTGCCCAGAGCTGAAACACAACACACCCAGGGGGAGGCGACACACAAACCAATGACATGAACAGTCAGAAAATAGTCACAACACACTGAGTATACATGTACTTTGCCTACCACAAAATAAGTGGTACTGTATTTTTAGAGCTTGGCAGCACCATAGTAGAATTGCTATTTTTGCATTTACGTCAACACTTGCTTCCTCAGTGATACAAATATGAAAGTACCCAGCAAATGGAAGGAATACATCCCCTTCTGGTGAGCAGTATGTTGGAACTCTGCCATCTCGAAATGCTACTTGCACCACCGCTGTCTAATACTTCCAAATGTGTTGGCTGCTTTCAGTCCTTCCACTGATCCTTTGTTACTACAGTGTCCTTTAATGATACAGCATTCAGTGACCACATCCGTCAGCAAGGGCTGTATCACTTGGCACCCCTGAAATTGTTAGATTGCAGCAGTGTATGGAGGTCTTCAAGATGGCAAAGTTTTAACACTTAGCCTGCCGGACAGGTGACTCTCCTCCTCATTTGCAGGATACAGTCACATTTATTTTGTTTAGGGTCTCAGGGTCTCTTTTAAAGCGTTACTAAACCCACAATCATAAAATTAGTCTGTATATGCATTAAGACATGCTTGTTATACTCACTGTGGAACCTAAGGGGTTAATCCTCTGCATTGTGTAAAAAGGCTGTTTGATCCTTTCTTCTCTAATCCTCCTCCTTCCACAGTTCCCAATCCATCTGTTGATAGTACAGAGCCCTAGGAGGCACTCTGCACATGCTCAGTATGATGTGTATTGCTAGAAAGTGTTGTGGTTTTTTTTGGGGTGATTGACGCAGGGCCAATCAGCACTATCCAGAGGGTCAGGGGTCATGCAGCCTCATAGGTCATTTAGAGGAGAATGAAAACACCTCCTACAAGCTTTAGCCAGTGCTTGGCCAGACACTAATAGAAGTCACAACCTGCTATGTACTGCTGATGAGAAAAGGTATTTAGCAGTTTATATTTACTTAAATAATTGCATTTCCATGTTCTATGTACTGTGGGAGACCAGATATAGTGAATGCAGGGTCATGGATTTAATAACACTTTAAAGTAACACCAATGTTTCTCTTGAATATAATGTCGCTCATTTGCTTTTAGCCTGTAAACTGGCAATATTACTGATTATAGATGGCATTCATTGCAAGGTGCTGTTCGTGATGTCAAGCTTGTTTTGTCCTTCTCTATATAGAGATTTTTTTTTTCTTCTTTTTCAACAACCCCCCCCCCCCCCCCCTTTCTTCTTCTTCTTTTTTTTTTTTTTTTTTTTTTCGTAGAATTAGAAATCTATTCGTGCAGTTTTATGTTTATTTACAGGTTTACATAAAACTAAAAATAGGATTTTCAGAAGTAGGTCAGCAATGTTACTCACATAGAGATAGGACAAAATAACTATTGTTTTACAATAACTTTTGTTGACAGGACTCAAAATCACAGTGGCAAATGTTAATTCCATGAAAATAATATCCAGATTTTAATCCTGTCTTTTTGTAGGCTGCAAAGAAATTTGCATCTGGAAAGAAATCCTTGGCAGCAAGCGGAAACCTGGAAAAAACCCCATTTGTTGCAGATCTCTAACTATTTTCCAGCAAGACACTTGAGGAACAGCATATGCTTTTGGCTAAGCTCTTAGAAGTGTACCATCTGTAAATTCTTCTCGTTATGGCCCGACATTAGGGAATGTAATTATTTATTAAGCCAGACTATACATGTGACTTGCGACTGAGAGATTTCTGAAAAACTTCTTATGTGGTCTGTGGAGAAAATGTTCATCTGTGTGTTACCTGCACCACATACAATTAAAGATTACTATTTCTAATATTGTTTTTTGTGTGCCATTCTTCTGTGTATAAATCATGCATGGTTTATTATATTTACTTGGGATCTTTTGCAATAAGCTGAATGTGTGCAAAATATAACTCTAATTCCAAAAGTGTTGGACATGTACTGCTTTTAGAATGTGGCTGAGAATTTCTGTACAGATCTTTTTGTGGACAAATACAACGGGTAAAATAAGCATTGAACACGTCACCATTTTTCTCAGTAAATTTCTAAAGGTGCTATTGACATGAAATTTTCACCACATGTTGTTAACAACCCATGCAATACATACATACAAAGAAACCAAAACAAATAAGTTTAAAAATTTGGTCTTTGTAAGAAAATGGAATGACACAGGGAAAAAGTATTGAACATGCTGAAATGTATTTAATACTTCGTACAAAATCCTTTGTTTGGTAATGACAGCTTCAAGACAACTCCTGTATGGAGAAACTAGTCGCATGCACTGAAGGTTCTGTGGGCCTCTTCTGTGAACTCTGGTCTTTAGTTCTCTCCATAGATTTTCTATTTTTCAGTCAGGCGATTGGCTGGGATATTCTCGCAGCTTTATTTTCTTTCGTTGAAACCAATTGAGAGTTTCTTTGACTTTGTGTTTGGGATCATTGTCTTGCTGAAATGTCCACCCTCATTTCATCTTCATCATCCTGGTAGATGGCAGCAGATTTTTATCAAGAATGTCTTGGTACATTTTTCCATTCATCTTTCAAAGATATGAAGTTTGCCAGTACGGTATGCTGAAAAAACAGACCCACACCATGATGTTCACATTATTATTATTATACAGTATTTATAAAGCGCCAATAGTTCACTCAGCGCTGTACATTACAAAGGGGGACAGAACATGTGACAGAACAATACCAATACAATGCAAAACATGAGGGGATCGAGGGCCCTGCTCTTTCGAGCTTACAATCTAGAAGGGACGGGAGTGGTATAGCTGTGGGGGATGGAGTGGTAGGAAGAGTGGAGGAGGTCAGCAAGTTAGCAGGGGGTGAGGTAGGCTTCCCTGAAGAGATGGGTTTTCAGGGTGCGCCTAAAGGAGAGGAGAGTAGGTGATAATCTGATGGGTTGGGGAAGGGAGTTCCAGAGGATGGGTGACACCCTGGAGAAGTCCTGGAGGCGGGCATGGGAGGAGGAGACCAGGGAACTAGAGAGAAGGAGGTCTTGTGAGGAGCGGAGTGTGCGTGCTGGGCGGTACTTGGATATTAGGTCAGTGATGTAGTTCGGGGCAGTATGGTGGACAGCTTTGTACGTCAGTGTTAGGATTTTAAATTTGATCCGTTGCGCAATCGGAAGCCAGTGGAGGGATTGGCAGAGGGGGGGTGGCGGAAATGGAGCGGTTGGAAAGGTGAATGAGTCTGGCAGCCGTATTCAGGATCGACTGAAGCGGGGATAGCCAGCGGCGAGGCAGGCCAGTGAGGAGGGAGTTGCAGTAGTCGAGTCGTGATATGATGAGGGAGTGGATGAGCTGCTTAGTGGTTTCTGGGGCGATGTTGCGGAGGTGGAGTCTGCACGAGTTTGTTAAAGATTGGACTTGGGGCTGGAAGGATAGGTTGGAGTCCAGAATGACACCAAGTACTCTGGCCTGCAGAGCGGGTTTGATATTGGCGTTGTTGGATGTGATGTAGAAGTCAATGGGGGGTGGGGTTCGGGCTGGGGGGAAGACAAGGAGCTCGGTTTTGGAGAGATTCAGTTTAAGGAAGTGGAGCGACATCCAATCTGAAATGTCGCTCAGTAGGTGTGTGATTTGGGCAGAGACCGAGGGGGTGAGGTGGGGGGTTGAGAGATAGATTTGTGTGTCGTCTGCATAGAGGTGGTAGTTGAAGCCGTGAGAGTGTATGAGTTGGACAAGGGAGGAGGTGTAGATGGAGAAGAGAAGGGGCCCAAGGACAGAGCCTTGAGGGACCCCAACAGAGAGGGGGAGTGAGGGGGAGGTGGTAGCATTATAGGTAACGCTGAAAGAGCGTTGTGACAGGTAGGATGAGAGCCAGGAGAGAGCAGAATCTCTGAGGCCGAGGGAGTGTAGTATTTTGAGGAGGAGGGGGTGGTCAACTGTGTCGAAGGCCGCAGAGAGGTCAAGGAGTAGGATTACTGAATAGTGGCCATTAGCTTTGGCGGTTAGAAGGTCGTTGGAGAGTTTGAGTAAGGCGGTTTCGGTGGAGTGTAGGGGGCGGAAGCCAGACTGTAGGGGATCGAGGAGGTTGTTGTTGTTGAGGTGAGAGCATAGGCGGGTGTAGACGAGGGGCTCGAGGAGTTTAGATGTAAGTGGGAGCAGGGAGATGGGTCTGAGGTTGTTCGGGTCATTGGGGTCCAGGGAGGGCTTTTTAAGCTTCACTGTTGGTATGGTGTTTTTGGGGTGATGTGCAGTGCCATTTGACCTCTAAATATGGTGTGTATTATGGCATCCAAAGAGTTAAATTTTGGTCTCATCTGACCAGACTGTATTCCCACAGTTATTCATGGGCTTGTCTAAGTACTGTGCAGCAAACTGTAAACAAGCTTCAACATGCTTTTTATTCAGCAATGGAGTCTTGCGTGGTGAGCGTGCATACAGGCCATGGCGGTTGAATGCATTACTAATTTTCTTTGTAACAATTCTACCTGCTAATTCCAAGTCTTTCTGAAGCTCTCCACAAGTGGTCCTTGGCACTTGGACAACTCTAATGATAATTCTTTTCACTCCTCTGTCAGAAATCTTGTGAGATGTTCTTTCCACTTCCAGATTATGGCCCCAACAGTGCTCATTGGAACATTCAGAAGTTTAAAAATCCTTCTGTAACCAATGCCATCAGAATGTTTTGCAACAATAAGGTTGCGAAGGTCTTGAGAGAACTCTTTGCTTTTACACATCGTGAGATGTTTCTTGGTAATGAGACACCTATTTATAGGCCATGAGTTGAGACTAAACCAGTTGATATTTATTTGCACTGACAAGGGGCAGGATTGCTTTCTAATTACTGATAGATTTCAGCTGGTGTCTTGGCTTTCCATGCCTTTTTGCACCTCACTTTCTTCATGTGTTCAATACTTTTTCCCCTGTGTCAATTCATTTTATTACACATAAATTCTAAACGTATTTGTTTTGGTTTCTTTGTATGTAAGAATTGCATGGGTGGTTACAGATGTGGTGAAAATTTTATGTCAATAGCACCTTTAGAAATATATTTTCCTAGAAAAATGGTGACGTGTTCAATACTTATTTTACCCCCGCTGTATGTATTTGCTGTAGGGTCCACTATCTGTGGCAGTTGCCAAACGATGCATAGAAAAAGTTTGTATGCTCTTTTATGTGTTTAGTGGGTATACTGCAGACTGTAATCTCTTGGGAAAGTCTCACTTGGGCAAAAAGATAAAGGCAGTCCACAGCTCTGGTTAAGGGCTACAGGGCATCAAGGTTGCCTAAGCAGAAGCTCAGTTATTTCAACTGGGAGGCTTGGGTACAATGGATGCCATGACTCTCTACAGTTCATAACTTGCAATACATCAGCTGCACTGTACTTTGGATACCCTCCAGAGCACCTTAGATTACAGACAGTGTCAGTTCTCTGAGCTGACCGCTTGGTACTATTAATTGCAAAGGGCTCTCTACACAAAAACGTGTAACTTCTGCAGCTCATCTAAGGCTCCGTGCACACTGGACAGTTTAACAATGTTGGTAACGTTAGCTGTGTAAATTCACATTAAAAACTTGAGTTTTTCAGGGTTTTTAGCGTTTTAGCGTTTAGCTGCGTTTTTTAGAGGTTTTTGTTGACCAGAAAAAAAAACTTTTTTTCTGGTCATAAAAAGTCCAAAAACACTGGTTTGCCCCATTTTACCACGTTTTTCAGCGTTCTAGCGTTTGTACAGCTAAAAAAACACCTCTAGAAACCCACTAGTTCTGGGGGGTGGGGGGGGGGGTTTCCAGCCAAAAACTGTCCCTGCCAAAAAACATTGATTACAGTCCGTGTGTATGGACACATAAGATAACATGCTGGGGAGTTTACTGGCTGTAGAAAAAATGTCAAAAGCCAAAAACTGCAGCTGTAAAAACGTCCAGTGTGCATGAGGACTTAATGTTCCCTGTTGCAGTCTCATGTTAAAGAAATCTCTACCACATAACCCTCTAATTGCCTAATAATTCATCAATAAATATATTGCTGCGCCTCCCTAAAGTGCAAAAACAGTTTCTCACATATTCATAAATACATATAACCTAGAAAAAAAATTTGCTAATACTTATCAAAGTGCAGGTGCAAATATAATCCCCCACATGTGCCCAAACCATATATAAATCACAAATTCACACAACTATTGAAATAAAGTGTTATTCTTAAAGTGCATATAATTTATTTTAAAAAAAAAATCTATAGGTGAATGCAATTTTATAAATTTGAGTCCATGTGCTTCTCTAAACTCATGCAAAGGTGCATTATCCTCCACCATTCGAAATCCGTGCTCACCTCCTCTATGCGACCTGCCCTCTTACAGCTCAGAGTGCCTAATTCCTTATATGTGGATTCCTGAAGGTATTATCTCTCCCATATATTGACTCTCTCCCATCCAATTAATCTCCCTTTCAGTAATTCAAATGGATCCTTCTATTTGTATGTGACTGGCCCTTTAAAATAGCAATTCCTGGTCTGCGGTGAAAACTCACACAAGAGAGGGGATTCCCACAGTGTAATATGTAAAGACTTCACATTTATGAAGTAAGCATTTTAGGGAGCCACAGCAATATGTTTGATTTTTTTTTTTTT